AAGTTTTTCCTCTCAAGAAGATTACTTTAATGTATGTATAAAATTTTAGGCATTTTTGTTTAAATAGGTGAAACGCAGTGACAACTACTTCCATTTCTTTAGAAACGACTTAATTTTCATTTACTTAAAATCATAATATCACTTGCTATAATAAAATTGTATCATTTGGATAATAACAGATGCCCTTCCCCAAATCATGTTCTAAAGAACATCCTACTTTAGTTTAAAAAAATTAAAACTATTCATGTGCTTGTTCAATTTTTGTTCCTACATGTTCAGCTATGTCCTTCATATTTGGCATTTTGATTTATTAGGCAATCTTAGTATTAAAGACTTTTAGCAAAGCAGTGCTAGATTTCAGATGCCCTGTGCATGGTGTCTATGATGAATTAATTCCACTAGAGCACAAAAGTTATCATTATTTAAATGCTAGTTTCTTTCAGAACTTTTATATCACAGTCAAGTTTTCCAAATCAGAATTTAGCTGATATTTTGAGGTAAATGTATGTGGTTTCAAGTTGTATATGTAAGTCTTCCATACTTAACCCTTTCATGGTGTGACTCTGCATGGAAATATGTAATGCTATTTAATAGTGACAATTTTACAAATCATTAAATAAAAAAAATTTAAGGATACACAATATCTTTTTGATACTTTACTTTTCATTAAATATCATATTTAAAATCCTTTAGGTTTTAATGCATTTATTTGGTTAAAAATACTAGACACTGGAAGGAATCAGGTACTGGACATATAATGTCTTTTAATGTCACTGTAAATAATTTTAAGAAAAGTTCACATAAATAAGTAGTTATAAAATTTTTGCTTGTTCTATTATCTGGTCTTAGTTTTTGAGAAAGTCGTTATTTTTTAATCCACTTAGATTAAATGGTAAGATGCAAAAAGTGAGATTTAATACTAAGGCATCAAAGCTGTATGATGGAGTCTATGTGTATGTGGATAAGGGAGTATGGTGGGAATATAGGCTTTTTTCTCTTCTCACCATCCTGATGTGTGTGTGCACGTGCGTTTGTGTGTATACATACATGTACGCATGTATATGGAGGTGATGGAGGGAGGGAGGTTGAGAAGATGAGAGTCAGAGTGAGTGTGAGCAGGAGGATAAGAGGTATGAAAGAGAAGAGCAGAGAGAAACGAAGCTGAAAAGCAACAAGGACCAATAGTGTCCCTGGTGGTGGTTGAGATAACACAGTTAACTGTACTTGCCCAGGTGGAGTTTCAAACTTTTGAATATTGCAGTGAATACAGAATGGGGTATATGCAGGTTTTCTGTTATTGCTCTGGCAAATAACTGTCTCACATGGTACGGTTTATACCAATGGAACCTATAACTCTAAGGGAAAAAATAAAACCAACAAGTTTAGCCTTCAGTACTACCCTATCATAAAGTAAGGAGGTCTAATTGAGCTATGTCTTTATATCCTGCTATTTGTACAAATAAAAGACCACATCTTGATGCAAAATAAACACAAAAGCACTGTTGTGACTATAACAGGGAGTCATATACTAATTTATATAATAAGTGGTTGTGCACGCTTTATTCAAGATTATGGCTGCAAGAAATGGCATGAATTGCTGGGTGTGTTTAATGCTGGATTATAGCAATTTGAAACATGTCAAACACATGGCTAATGCCTCATGCTTCACTCATTCTTGCGTAAACCTGCATAGCCACCATCCATTATACCCTTGGTAACAACACAATTCTGCAAGTAAATATTGTTACACTAAGTAACCTTTCAATTCAAGTTGTTTAGGAAGAGAAAATGCAATCTTGTGCAGTCAGTTCCAGTGTCAGTTTAATGTTTCAAAAGGGAAGTGGTGTAGAGAATAAGTATCTGTACAGTGACTTGCTTTAAAAAAAGAAGAAAGAAAAAGGAAACCAAAGAAAACTTAACACAGGGGAGAAAAGTCGAGTTGTATCATTTGAGTACAAGATCGGAAGAGTTATCTTCAAATGTGGCTCCGAAGTCGTGCATTATGAAAGATTTAAGGGTTTAACTTACAGTTCAGCCAAACATTAAAACAGTGATTTCCCAAACTCACTTTTCTTCTTAATGATTTGGAATATATTTTCACTGCTTTTTATAAAATGTTTGTGGTAGGATTCAGAAGGATGAATAATAAGATGTTTGGGATCACAAGCACATCCATTTTGAAAGAATATGTCAGAATTTATAATTATTTAAAATATACTTTAAAAGGTAAACAGCACCTCACAGTGTATAAAAATATTTCCTTAGTGGGAAACAAATTTGGAGGTTTCACTAGAAGAAACTTAGTAAATACTAGGAAGCGTCTACAATTGTCTGCTTTATAGGGGACAAGATTTCTTCTTTAAGTGAATTGCACATTGTAATCACTTAATTACACACTTGCCCTTCTTTTTGCATATAAATTTTGGGTCAGAGGCCCCTGTTTTGTAGAACAAAAGTACTTTCACTGTTACTGTTTTTCTGAAGCATGATTTTACTAACTCTTAGATGATTGAACTTAAAATGTACATCGCAATTTATACTCTAGGACTTTATAAAGTCCAAAATTCCACAAGGGATAATAAAATCCTTCAGTTAATAGGAATTGGAAGTTATATAGGTCTTCGTAATTGTAATAAAGATTTAGACTCTCTGCTTGTTGACTATTCTT